AGAAGGATGAGACACCCAGCAATTAACATTCCCATTACTTGAAATTAATTAATTAACTAATTAATTTTCTTAAATTATTATTTTTGCACATATGTGATAGTACTACTGTTAGACTGGCACTTTCATTATCCAAAATCACACAGACCTACTTCTACCTCCCCTTTTGCCACCTTAGCTTTGACTCAATCCTGCAAGATGCTGCTGAGTGCTCCAGATAGGAGTCTGTACAGCACTTTAGAAAATGATTAGTTTACAGCATTAGAAGTCACAGTTAAGTCCATGGATCTGTTCATATGTATTTTTAAAAAGCTGCAGCTGTGATTTTTATCAGTATATTCTGTATTGTGAATGGTCAAGCTTGTCACTGTTAGTATTCTTTGGGAAAAGAACTATTAAATCTCAGTGTATTGGTACTATCATTGTATGACAAGACATCTCCATTGCTAAGACCTTTCCAAAATTTTAAAGTGCTCAAGAGTATTAAAAAAAAATCCGGATGGTCCAGACTAGTTTTTACCTGCAGGACAAGGCTAATGGAAGAAAAGGTAGTAATATAAAGCTATTTAAATCTCTTAATGCCTTATTCACTCCAACTGCTGCACTTCATTCTGTACAAGCCCTCTCCATCCAAATGAATTACGTATGACAATTTTGGATGTTATAATAAACAGATAGGCACCATAATAATGTATTTCAGTTAGGAAGAGGTACTTGGAAGAAATTGGTTTTGCTATACACATGATGTGAGACAATCAATAGTGCTTTAGTCTGACAAGCACTGTCAATAGCCATTGTCACAGTTCAGAAAGTCATTAATGGATAGTTCCTCAAAAACCAATGCTTTCAACATGTTAGAAGTGTTCAGATATACTGTACCTGGCAGGAATTAATCATAGGTAATCACTTGGGATTATATATAAATGTTTTGTGAATTAAGAGTGAAATAAAAGTCATTGTAAGGAATGTGGGATCGTGTTATACCAAGTTACAGTATCTTGCCAGTAAAATATGGGGCTACTTAGAACACATTAAAACATTTTACTTTCTGAATCATTCATGTTCTGCCCAAAACATCACACCCAGCAATAACGGTCTGCTAGAAATGTATTGTCTAGGTACGTGACTTGTGTTTTTGTTTCTCTACTAAATTCTCAGAAAGTAATCATCTAAAATTTTCTAGTTTGCCCTGAAAACTTTAGAGATTTGCCTGGTTCTTTTAGTTGTGGCCAAGCTAAAACCCTGGAGAAAGGCTTTTGTAACATCACCTTGTAACTATGTTAGCCACTGCTTCATCCTGCTTAAGTTATGTTTACTCTCATTGCATAACATATACAATTTAGTGGATTAAATTATGGCAAGTTATTCTTCATCTGTACATCTCAAAACTTCCATTGACTCTGATGGTACTTCTGCAGAACTGTAGGATTTGGAGGTGATGCATTAATTCTTTCCTTCTGTCTGTCTTCTTGTGGAAAAACTCTTGTACAGAATTTATTTTGTGGGTTTACAAGATTCTCCTGTTATTTATATGTTACTAGGAATATTAAGGCTCGAGTCATGGCATTGAGTAAGTATTCAGAGGATTTATATAGTCCCAAAAAAAGACAGGTTAGTTTTTTCTTGGTGCAATTTTATTTTCAGAGAATTCCTTCCTAATTCAGCTGAAGTTATTACAGTGCTATGGCCAAAGGCCAAAGGTGTGTTCTTTCTTTTATGCCTAACGATGTATTTATACTATTTTCTTTTTGCACCCAATCTGTATTTCAATTCCCTAACGTGATAAGCTTAATGTATCTTAATTCTAGATCAAACTGAGGAAAAGCTCTTGCCATGTTTTTCCCATTTGTCCCTTCATACCTTTCATACCTGTGGAATAGAGACCTAACAAAGTGACCAGAGACATGAGCAATGTTTTTCTAGACCTGAAAGTGCAACTCTATTTCCAACCCAATGTGGAAATCAGCCAGTATTCAGGCTACACTTTTGGTGCTGGATTGAAGTGTCCTTGCACCCACTTGCACTAGCAGCAGAAATATAGCACAATATTGGACTCTGTTGGGTTTTCATCTACGTGTCCAGTAAAAGGCCCTGGCCCAACAAGAGCAAGCATGCATTTCCTTTTTCTGCCTCAGAAGCTTTTAATGCAATACAAGAAATACTCAATTGAGGAGTCTGTGCAAAGGGAGGGGAATTCTCCTGGCTAAATCTGGACCCTGAAATTTAAAAAGGAAAGTACTCCAAAAATATTTATTGTGTTTTTTGAGTGTTATAATTACTTTTTTTAACGTCTTGGAAATAATACTTGGTCCTCTTTGTATTTCCACATATAATAGCATAGTCATTTTAATGTGGGGATATCGCGAGAAGAATGGGTTGGCAAGAGAAGGACTATTTCTAAATGAGTTCCCAAGAAGATTATTTCTGGCTAAGCTTGGTTCTGGAACTTGCTATCTAAACCCTTGAATTTCTGGGAGGGAAATTGGAGTTTCCCTCTGGTGACTCACACATGTTTAGTAGAATAAAATAAGGAATTAATCATAATTAGCTTTGCTGCTGTTTTTAACTATGCGCTACACAACTCAACATAGAACATGCAAAAGCATCCATGACAATAATTATTCCTACCTCTAGATGTAGTTTTAACACCATAATTGCTGTTTCAGGTTTAAAACTTCCAACTGGGTTAATGCTTCTTTCTAAACAGAGGGATCTTTACCCTGCTGTCAAGTCATAGATCCCCTCTCCTACCATTCCTAATATGACCACTTCAGTTAAAATATCTTAACAAATCTGGTGTATATTCAGAGTTAAAGTGGGCATGAATGCTTCAGAGTCCTGCAGAATGGGAAATGTGTAAGAAATCTTAAGTGACTTGAGAGATGTTTTCACTCCTACACCATTTGCACTGGGGAAGTTTCACTGTAAATCAGGAAAAGCAACCCTAAATATGAATCGCCAGGGGCAGAATGACCCTAAGCAACATTGAGAGTCCCAAACTAAATGCAATTCACTTCACTGTTTCAAAGTACCATTAAGATGCAGAATTAGAAACATCCATTTGTTGTTCTTTTTATAGCACAGCCAAGTGACTTGGAATTTTAGCTTGTCCCTGCCAAGGATTGCTCAATTTTGAACAAAAAGTCCTCCACTATCATGTTAAAAAAGCACCAACCATCAATTGAATGCTAATCTTTATATTCAATGATACATCATTCCAAGAATGCTACCATTAAAAAATGTGAATTCTATTTTTCATAAGTGATGGATTATTGTACCAAGCTGTGTATTTTCCAGTAAAGTGTCCTTTTATATGTCCTGTGTGATTACTGGTTTGTGGAAGTATGTGTGGGGTCATTTTAGTGCTGTGGGAAAATGGAGCACTCTTCTGTTAGAATCAGTAGTGAAATCAGAAGCAAACTATGCTCTGATCATTGTAGGCATGTGTTTAAATATTGCTTTCCTTAATTGGCTATGTTCTATTTACTTAAAATGAACAATTTGGCAAGTTTTTATCCCTTGACAACAGCAAAGCGTAAACCATTTTATAAGTTTGGCTGTTAAAATCAGATTTGTAATGTAAACCACAATATTCCAGGGTTGTTGCTGTTGCTTAACCAGTTATTTTTGCTTGCCATTGTTTTATAATTGTGCACCTTTAAATATTCTGGTTCTGTTTATAATTTGTGCAACACTTCTTGCTACAAAATAGCCCAATAATATTGATCATAATTTTCTTTTTTTTTAAAAAATTTCTCTTTTTCCCTGGATACTTTATATGAAGATCAATGCATTATAGGAGAGATCCAATCTGGATGGGGACATTAGGGAGCATCTCCGTAACCGCAGCAGGGTACTATTTAGAAATTCCGTCAAAGGGACAATGCACCAATTCCTGCAAGTTCAGCTTGTGGAGAACACTGTGTTTCGGTGGATAGAGTTATTTATTTATTTATTTATTATTTATCTTTAAGAGAAGTCTGAAAGCTATTCAGTCCTGAGAAAGCAGAAGCCATCCCTCTTGCAGCTGGAGGTACTTTCTGGGGAAGAATACAGCTCCGGCTGCCTCTTTTTCCTGCTCACCATTTGGGTGAATGGGCAGGGTGAGAGAGCTCAGGACACAACATAAGGGGTGTTCAAAGGTGGGGAGGCTCAGGTGATTTGTTTGAAAACTTTGAATATCTGTCTGTTCATGGAAACCTTTGGAGAAGATCTTCCCATAACATCAGTGCTGCTTCTGGACCATCCAGCCTTGACTGTTCAGTTTCTCCTTCCTACTAAAACTGCCTCTTTTGATAGCTATGGTGGTGCCCTGCAAGCACCTCAGCAGAGAAAAAGTTACATTTATGCCTTTGAAACTTCCTCCAGGGGATTTTCTGCAGCTGGGTTCTATGTCTTTTTGACACAGAGCAGGAACAAATTGAGCTCAAAATGTTTCTCAGTTTGGTAAATGCCTAAATATAATAAAATATAATCATTAGGATGGGAATACTTTTCTTTCCATAAATTAATGCATCTTGCACACATTTCATGGCATACAGCCATGCTTTCTATAACTGCATTAAATATATATATAACGCTAAATCCATCTTGGCAAGAGAATTCAGTCCTTCACTAGTGGTGTAACCATCCTTCCTTTCTCATAACAAGTAGTATATAGCTAATAGTGCATAGCACACTTGGAGTCCTGAGTTTTAGCTGAGAAATCATCCATGTGAAATTTGTGGGATTCGTGAACGTTTCATGAGTAAACTGGTCACCATCCAAATGCTTATAGGCAATAAATAATACAACTCTGTGAGCAACCGGCAGAGTGAACTCATCAAGTTTATTCTCAACAGTATTAATCAGATGTTTTGCACTATCCAACCAGCTACAATGTGGAGCTACCACATGATTTTACTAGGGTGGCTGTGGCTACTATTTTCTAAGGATATTTGAGCAAACTACTATTAGTTTAAAAATGCCATTTCACTGAAGCTTTTTCTTTTGATTTCCTTTAGTTTTCAGACTGAACTACAGTGCCTCTGACACAAATGACAGGAGCAGAGTGAAAAGCAGATTAAAGAAGTTCATCTCCCGAAGACCCTCCTTGAAAACACTGCAAGAAAAGGGACTTATTAAAGGTGTGTTTGGTCTTATGTACTTTTTTTGGAATAAAAAGTCACAAATGATTTTTTCATTCTCAGTTAAATGAGTAAGTGCATTGGACAATAGTTCTTAGATATGGTTTTGTTTCTGTATGAGAAAACTTGCACTGCTGAACTGTAAAGAAAAAAATCAACGTATTATAACATAGATCTCTGTGATATCTGACTGCTTCTTCGGTTTTTCTGTTTTGGTGTGCACATGGGAGAAGCCCCTCCACTTAGCGCAGGCACTCACCGTGCACATTGCAAATCAACAGGCTACACCAGTCCACTTCTTTTTAAGACAAGAATGTTGGTATAGTTTTATATTTTAGAATCTGAAATAGGAACTTCAGATGTTGTGCAGACTAATTTGTTTTCTAGGGTAGACTGGAATACTTTCTGCCGTCTTCTCATTTTTCTAACTCACCAACAAAATACATTTTTAACAATTTAAAATACTTACCAGTGAAAAATAAGTGCCTTGAATCCATGATTCTTTTCCTACTCCAATGTCTTGCTAAGTTGGGCAGCCATCGCTTTCACATATCCTCAAAAAATTGTTTCTTTGATAAAATGCATCTGTTAGTTGATACAAGGAGTAAGCGTTTTGCTAAGAAGCTGGTAGTTAACTTGAAGGCGGTAGCATTCTGACCACTAATAATCGAGCAAAGCCATGTTTTCAAATATTGTCTGGAGTAATGCTTTAAAAATTTACACACTCCCAAATTATTATGTGTGAAACCCACAACCTCACATACAAATTGACCAGAAAGAGGCATTTTGCCAGCCACCTCTGTCAATCTCTGGAGTGTGAGTTTTCCAGTGGTGTGTCAAAAATGGCATGGGGAGTTGCTGGTGTGTATTAAACTCATCTGTCCTGAGCCAAGGGATTGACCCCAGCCAGCAAAAGCTAAAGCAGCCACAAGAGTTAAACCTCAGCTGGGCCCATGTTTGAAGAGAAGGGCAAGATTTTATGAATTAAGTTCATACATTCTAGTTACATTCAGAAATGTTGCGCAATGTTGCCTACTATAAGGAAATCATCATATGAAATCACTGTGTGACTTAATGACAGGCTTCTACTCCTAACTTTCACAGAAACTTGAAAACAAAAGTCATTTATACATAAATATATGTGTGAAGTGTATACACACACCCCCCAAACTTTCAAGATCTGTCCCTTCACATTCGAAGTATCTGATTTTAATACATTTGAAGGTTTCACTTCTTTGAAGTACTCTGTGGGTTGAAGGTGGGATTTGAGTGCATCATATTAGCTTGTTTCAGTTAGAGTAATAGAATATATTACAGTAATAGAGTAGTAATTTATAGTCTTTTAATTTCTGAATTTAGAGGTTGGGAGGGTTTTTTGGTTTAATAAAGTGTGGCTGATGAATCTCCTGCAGTGTAACATAGGGATCAGATGTGATCCCTGCTAACAAATCCAGATTCATTAGCATAACTCAAATCCATCCTCTAATATATCTCTCTAGGAAAGCCAGATGCATTTGGTGGTTTTGGCTGCAGTTGCATTAAGCTCTTGATTCATAAACATAGTTTGGTCCTACCTGGGTTACTCTTCCATGGATAACAAAGACGCATGATTTGTAAAACCAGAATTGGTACCTGGTACGGTTTTATTACCAAACTAATGTTACCATGAAGAAAACATGTTCGTTATCTACCATGAAGTTTCATTAGGATTAGGTTTTGGCCATGCAAATGAGGCAGGATTCGTTAGCACGGCTTAATTCCAATCTACGGTAAGTCTATGTGAAATGCTTATTTGATAAGGTTCCTTCATTGTCTTCACCAGAGTTTATCCCTTAATCTGTTAAAATGTTATGAAAATGCAGTTGCACTGCTTATACAGAGACCACTTTTAAATGTTAATTTTCAGACTCACATTAGAATATTTTTAAATCACAAAATGCAACCAACCAGATTAAAAAGGAAAAGCTTGCCAAATTTTATATTATGAGATGCATCTATTTATTTTTCTAAAGGTGACTTAAATGGTTGCAGAAACCTCTCAGAACTATTTATTTGCTCGTTTCTTAAGGGAAAAAATGTTAACCAATTTTTACAAGACAAAATTCCTCCAGCTCTGAGAACATGCATACTAACTTTTATCCCATAGGGAAATACTTCTGTCAGAATAGTAAATCCCTTAAAATAGAGGCTCGTAATAAAAGTGTGTCTAAAGCCTTGCAGGACATCTCAGTACCGAATTTCTGACAAAGAGCCGTTCTGTATGCTAGTGAAGAATTGATATAAATATCTGCGAAGCGTGTGGTGTTAATTACTCCAATGCAGTGGCACTGTAGGTGCTGTGAAAACCTTCACTTTTCATCAAGTGCTATTCATATTTGCCAGGGGCACTATAAAGCTCTCAAATCTATATTGATTTTTTACATTGTATGTCACATTGGAACCAAAACTCCAATAAATTTAACACGTAAATTACAGTCATGAGTAAATACATTTTAAGGTGGTAAGTTCACTTAAACACAGCTCTGTGCTCTGTTAGTCGCTGATGTGTACACACTTGGCCAGAAGACTTGACACATTTCTCTGCATTAACCAAATTTGGAAATACAGGCTGCAAAATTAAATAGCAGTTTGATCTCCTGGGGTTCTTTGTTCTGCCAGCGCTGTTATCAGAAAATCTAGAAATTATGTGATTGTCATTTAACTCTTAACAAAACTTTGTGTAGGATGTAGCTAAGATCCATGTAGTAAATAAAGCAGGTAGTTAACAAATGAGAAGAATAAGACGTAGGAGGATAATGATCAGATGAGATAATGTAGCAGACCAAAGTGTGAATATCTGTTGCATGTTGATCTGAGAATGAAGTTGTGCCAATGCTTTACATGCCGAAAAGTTATTTTTGTCACTGCAGTCCTATTCGTCTTCTAGTCCTTTGCGTAAAAGAGGCCAGAATGGGAAGAGTATGTGGGCTCCATTCATTGCGATGGGCTGGTGACGGGTTTTCCATGCTCCAGCAAGAGCTCTAATGATCATCAGTGCTCCTCGTTCCACCTCACTCATGCTTAGACAAGATATCTTTGGTCTGGAAGCTTTTCGAGTAGTTTTTGAGATGATGTGCAATACAGTATTTTTGTGCAATGTGTATGCTTCTATCTGCACACTGAGGTTCATTACATCAAACCTAGAAATAGTAATTAAGAGGCATGTTCTTTGTCTACCATTTTAACAGTGTCATTTTGAGAATAACTGTGTTCAAATTTATATGCTAGGGCAGGGGTCCTCAGTTCCTCGGGACTGAAATATTCTCAGAATTTACAGAATCTGCACTAATATGCTCGAAAAATAATATATAAATCTTCGCTTTTAAAACTACTTTATAGTCTATAATTGAACTTTGATCTTTATGTTTAAGCTTTGTCATGATTTAATATAACCCAAAACGAATTGCCAACCTTCAACTTGATATTGGCCTGCCAACTTCCTGATTTCTGAGCCTTTCTAGTCCACAAAGGAGAAAAAAAAATAACTTCTGTGAAACTGTGATTTTAAAGCTATGGTGGTTGTGCTGGTAATAGACTATCACAAAATACACTTTCAGTAAATGGATAAAAAACATGAGTAACAGCTTAACATAAATGACACTGTGGGAAATGAGGAAAATGTAGCTATGCAGCTAGCAATAAATTAATCTAGGTTTTTTGGAGGTGGATTTTTTTTTCCCCAAAGCTAGACACTGAAGGAACTTTGCTGAATTTATTTTGTAAGTTAAGGCAAAAACCAAAACAGCACAAAAAATTGGAATGGTTACAATAGCTTCAAGATGAAAATAAAAGCCACTCAATTGCTAGTGAAAGGAACTAGCTGTGATTTGGCTTGATAGCCTATAGCACAGGGCTCAGCATATGCTGGTGGTTGTGCAGATAGCAGTGCAGAGATCACCAACCAGTTTATTTCCAGGCAAGGGAAAAGTCTTTGTTGTCTCATCTGTCTCAATGGACCTTGGAGTAGCTCAATGTGATGAGTATAACGCTCACAAGAAGTCCAAAAGAGTAGATTTAGACCTACCTTTGATGTGTTCTGTAATTCTTCCGGGTTATGCAGGATTTTAGCTAGTGATCTGGTGCCCATAATAACTTAGGGAAAGTTAGGAAATGTTTCTTTTGACTTGCGGGAACAGTGGGTCACAAGGGTATTTCTTTCTTTAACCACTGCACGGACTTTTGGAAGTACATTTTCCAAACCGTGTGGATAGCCAAACACTGGATAAAGTCATTTTTCCCTTTGACGTGATGGTTAGAAATAGTTCAGGTAATTTTAAAATGTCTCATTTTTGGAGACCTGATTTGAGAACTACAGCAGACTCACTCCCTTTGGATTCAAACGAGCTCTTGTCATCAGTTTAAACATCATCATTTCTTATATAGATCAATGTCTACAGTAATCTCTATTTTCCCTTTTTCTGAGAGCGTGAAACAAATCTGGTAGCTCATATGCCACTTCTTAGTAGTAACTGTTCACAAATGTAATTTTTGTAGAATTGATGACCACCACAGATCAGCGATATATAGTAAATTTACAAGTTAAAAGGACTGGCCAGACTCCCAGCTACAGTAAATCAGGGGAGCTCCATTGACAACCCCACTGACTGCAGTCAGCTGAGGACCTGGCCCTCTTATTGTAAAAGCATCGTGGAGTTATTTGAGCCCTGGTCTGGGATCAGCATCATTTTAATGTCTGATTTGATATGTCTGACTCTACAGATTGAGCAGCTAGAAGAAGTCACCATTCAGAATATGGCCCTTTCCAACCATGTCCCTTCCCTGTCCAAATAATTCAGTGCTGTGGTGCCTACTGTTCAGTCCCTCTCTCTGTGCGTTCCTCTTTTATTTTGCCTTTTTGTTCCGTTTCCTCCTTGTCCCTCCCAGCATTGATACAGATACAAACAAAACAAACGACTTAGATGTTGATACAAAGCTCTGGAAGTCTAGAAGTTCAAATTCAGATGTAATAGAGTTAACTCTGCTCCTGGAAGGCACTGAGTTACATGGGTATAATTCAAGTTTCTAAAAACCTTCTACCTTCTCTTACTGTATCAGAAGTCGAGCTTCTCCCTGAGAAATGGGAATGTTAGCCATGCCCTTTGCTGTTTTGTTTTTAAATAAAAAACACAGAAGTACGAGTTCCTCCCAAGTACAGCCACATCTCGTCCATGCACATCAAAAACAGTTAAATGATGACATTCTCAGTGAGGATGTGGGTTCAGTGATTCTGGTTTAATTGTTTCTTTTCCAGAAGTATTGTCTCCCATAGACCAGCTTTCTGCCACTCAGAATTAGTGGCTTTGCTGCAGCCTGCGAGATCTACTCAAAAAAAGTAGCTCTGTCAGGCTCGGGAAGAACTTGAAGCTCACCAGAATGAGCAATTCATTGCGGCTGTAATCATCATTTTATATTATACAACTTGTGAATGTCCAATCCCTCCTTTCCTGGTGTCTCCTTTTACATCCATGTGCAAAGCTGTCACACACCCCACCATCTTAAATAGGGAGTTAAATGTGCAGATATCAGGGATGCATAATGTAAACCATACCACCAAACATATTATGAATATATTGCTCTTCTTAAAAATGCTTGTTGGTTTTTCATACGACAGTATTGACTAACTGTCTGCGTTTGATGTATGGTTTACCAGCCTGATGTAGACTTATGGTTAGAGCTTAACTTGTTAGTTCTGCTTTTGCAGCCAATTCAGAATAACTACAGATGCCCCAAGATATTAAAATTGACTGCTCAAATGGACTCAGTGTGGGAGTTTCATTGGTTTTAAATTGATAACAGCTGAAAGAGTGAATGATTAAAGCTGTATATGGGCATAGTATGCAGCTCCTTTGTACAAGTTCTTGTGAACAGAATCCGCTGTATGGGAATTGCCTTTGTTCTAATAAAAGATATTTCTGAACAATTGTTAGTTTAAATGTTTAAATGATGAAACAAGAGCATTTCAGGAGCCTATAGAGGAAATAATTCCTGAGAAACTGGAATAACTCTGAGAAGATAAAGTGGATTTCTATTCAGAAGGGAGCATTTAAAGTTAAGTAGCATTCCATAAGGTGGTAATTGTGTCTATTTCCCAGGCATTTGAGTTAAATAATCTGGATAGGAAACATAAAGTGTCATAACAGGAGGTTAGGAGTGTTGTGTACTTTTTTTTTTTAAAGTCATAAAAAATGAAGTTTTGAAGGGCCTTATCACAAACAAAGCAAGCAAAGGCCTTTTTGCTTCTTTTATCCCTTTGGAAACAGTTCTTATTTGTTGAAAAAGTGTCCTGAATAGTTTCCACTTAAATAATTTTAAAATATATATATACACACCTATAAAAGAAGAAAATAATATTTTAATCTTCGCTGCACATAAATCTCATTTACAAAACTTAGTAATTTGCCATTCTTATAATTCCTTCTTTTTTTCAAAATACTGCACAAGCTTAACTGAGTTTTCCTCAACTCTCCCTGTGACCTCTAAGAGTGTGAATATGGCAGCATAACTACTGCCATTGCCATGTTTATGTACGGAAACAGATCCAGCAAAAAATCAATTGGCTAGAAAGAGTCATGGGGTTTGTGGTTCAGGAGTACCCAGAATTCAGAGTATTTGGATGACTCATGAGACTGTGTACTTATAAATACTCATTAATTTCTAGAATGGGAGAAAAAATCCAAAGCCGTTGTGTGCCATTATTTACCATAGTCTCTTTTGATGCCCAGCAACTATTACTGCTGATTTGCTACCCCTTCCATTCAAGATGAAAATCCTGAGTGTCTTTTTCCTAAAGAAGATGTGTTTTAAAGTTTAACTGCAGGATACAGAATGTGACTATATCCATATACCGAAAGGTACATAACATAAGATTAAATATTTTGCTGGATTGGATACAGAATCTGCACCTAGAAAAGAAGAAATGGGCTAGGTGAGAATTGTATAACAGTTCCCAGCCTTTAAAAAATTTCCTCCCAGGAACACCAAGTGTTCTGCATTCGTGCTGGGGATTGAAAGAGTAACCACAAAATAATGCTGGAAGTTGGTTACAAAATGGTTGTAATCAAGAAGAGAAGCTGCTGAACACCCATGCATTAATTTTGTTTCGGTTTTTCATGTACTGCCATCTAAACAGAGTGCAGCTCTTTGACTGTTTTGCTTCTGAAATTGTTTACAAGTGTCTTTGTCCACCAAATAAGAGACATTTTTACTTCATTTTAACATAATTTACATTGGAGACCATTCCATATTATGCAAAGAATTTGACAGGTCTTTGCTAAAATTTAAAAAAAAACAATTAAGATGTCAAAAGAGGAAGTGCTAGTACATTTTAATCATAAATCTCTGTATATATAATTACCACTGAAGGCAGCTATAAATGTTTTATGAAGAAAATGTAACCAGACTGTGCTTTGTCAGAAACATAACCCCAAAACATGTAACAGACTGTTCGCTAATGCTTAACGCCACACATGCACACAACCCTCTTCAGTGTAGTTCTGTGAACCCAGTCCTCCATCCCTTCTGCAGCCGAAACTCCAACTAACTTAAATTCAGGCTTTGATGTACTCTACCAGAATGCAGATCGCATGCATTAGGAGGTGCTGGAATAAACTTCCCCAGTACATATCAAGAAGTCCAAACCATCCCATGCAGCCCATCTTGTTTCCCTGATTGTTCCCTGCTCTGGGGTATTAGGAAAGAAAAGGCAAATGAGTTGCTCTTGAAAACGAAGCTTAGTAAGAAACAGCACGATTAAATGGTAGGAAAGCGAAGCTTCTTGCAAAGCAGAAAACAAACAAATGGGTTTTTGCCTGTTAGTGAGAAAAAGGTGGAACACCTGGAGGATGAGGCACTCAAACTGATTATGGTGGAAGATGATGGGACTGACTATGGAGGAAATGTCCCATACCACAGGAGCTGTAGAGGTCAGCAGAAGCTTCTGATGTTCTGCGATTGAGCGTGTGTTTTGGGTTTGCTCTGCAGAGCTCAAGCTTCTGTTGGCAACCCTCATCTACCTACACAAAAGATTTCAAAGCCTCTATGCCACGTTCCAAAATGTAGTGCTGTGTTGAAATGCTCTATGGAGATTGTCTCTTCAGTTAAATGATGATAGTTTGCTCCTATTGTTTGAGCATTTAACTGGCTCGTATCGAGTAGTTGCTTTCATCTGTTTGATTCATTTTGATTCTAGCTGACAACATCCCCATTACTGATTGCTCTTTTTATACTTTCTCAGACATCTAGAGTGGAAATGAGGTGGAGGAAGCTGATCAGTAATCTCAAGATCATACTTTCTCAAACATATAGAGTGGAAATAAGGTGGAGGAAGCTGATCAGTAATCTCAAGATCTTAACCTGCTTATACAAATATATTTTAAGATCAACATTCAGAGTTGCTCAAAACTCTGAAATTCTAAATACTTAAAGGTAACATTATCTACTAAGATGAAATGATTATTCATCAATGTCACAAGTTAAACTTGGTGTAACATGCAATCCTCATCCAAAGACACCTAGTACATTTTATTTTTTAAACAGGTTATTTGGTGAAAAAAAGTCCCATCTTGTAAAGATGAGATGAAATTTTACTAAGTCTTGATTATGCAAAGTAACGAACCCTTTGCATCCCTACAGTACTCAGTGGCAAGGGTGAAACTCCATGCAACACAGAAGAGGCAGGCTACCCAACAATACGAGTTTAAGATCGAACCAACAATTCATATCTTGTAGGATTTTGGATTCAAAAAACATGTGGAGCTGTATCTCTAGAGTGGCCTTCCCTTTTTTGCGGCAGGCCCAAGCAAACTCCAGAGACTGCAGCCCCCAGTGCTTAGAAAGGTTGAGGTCTAAATGACAATTAAATCTTGAGCCCAGGAGAAGTATCTGAGTGCCCCAGGCAGCAGGTATTGAGGGGTTTGGTTCTCTGCAGATGTTAACCTCTACAAGGATTTATTTCCAACTTTGCCCATCTTCAATAACTGAGTTTTTAATTAATATGAAAGCTCAGAAGAGAGAAAAATCCCACTACTAATAATATGCTTTAATGTATTTTCCTCTTTTTTTTCCAAATGTAGATCAAATTTTTGGCTCCCATTTGCACTTGGTTTGTGAGCACGAGAAATCTACAGTGCCCCAGTTTGTAAGACTGTGTATAAAAGCTGTTGAAAAAAGAGGTGAGTACTTTCATATTTAGCACTATTTTTTTTCTCTATCAGTAATCAAAATCTAAACCTTGTAAGTCTGTTCAAATTTCCAGGGTAGACAGGCAGTTCAATTCATAACGTGGTTACAGGCTGAACTATATCACATTCTGTATCTTCATTTTCCTTATATGATAGGACCATAATAGAACCCATTCATGCTGATTATTCCTTGTAAGTTTGTTTGACATGTTGTTGTTTTAGTCTTCCTCTGGTAAGCAAATGTTAAACATCAATAAAATGTCAGTAACTTTCATTCAGAAGTCTCTGGTGAGTATAATGCCAATACTTTTTCCTAAGTCCTGAATTGCATTCAACCAAAATAAATGTTAATCTAGTGTGACCATATGGGTTTTTAATGTATGCAGGTGTCTAATTTTAGTTATTTTTAAAAGCCGTAATATAGTAAGAATATTGGAATGAGTATTAATCCTCATTAAAAGTTTTGATTAATTTAAGAAGAAGGATTTTCATGGTATAAAAAGATGTGCTTCACACCGTTGCTTGCCTTCCCTTCTCCAGAGTGTATCTTCTCTCATTGAAGGTCACTTTCTTTGGAAGGTACACGCGGTAGATGCAGAATCTTAAAATGTATTGTATAAAAATGTGAGGCTTCATCACCATCTGTTACAAGTTTACAACTTGTTCCAGGGATCTGGGGAAACATATATCTTGCAAAAGATAGAAAATTTATTTTCAGAATAAGGCTGGGTGAACCCATTGTCACTGCCATATACTGGAATATCAGAACAAGAGAACCAATGAAAACTAAAAAGATACTTAGACCGTTAACCACAAAGGAAAAAGCTATTTTAATTCCATCATTGTTACCTGGTTTTATAGTGAAAGGTGCAATAAAACTACCCTGGAGTTTCAAACGCTGGGAAATTCATGCTTTAATTATACAGCAAAGAGAGCACTGGGATATTATTATTCCCAGAATGATTGGCAGGAAGTCAGGGACTAACAAACTGGAGATTGTTCAGTAGGGGGAGATAGTAGCATTGGTTTTTTGGAGGAAGGCTGGAGGCTGGATAAAGAGACAAAGAAAAGTAAGAAACGTGTGAAGTGACTAATAATAGAGGAGGAATTGTGAGGAGAAATTCAGAACGTGGAAAGGAGAGGCAGAGATTAGATTAGGAAAATGCCACGCCATGTAGAACGTGTCTAACTGACTGTTAGGTTATGATCTTAGCACAGGTTCTCCAAACTTAGAACTAGGTATTTCATAGATGTTTTGTGGTATCTGACCACTCCTCCTGGAGACGTGAGGCCAGAGGTCTCTGCACGGCTGAACTGTAATAGACAAATCCAAGGACCCTAATTAGGTGTTTATTGTCTGGGTGATTATCAGAGAAATGTTCATGGAAGAAAATGAAACTATCACTTTTTCTTCAAAAGAGTTCACCCTTTGGAGAATTGCATTGTTGTTCTTGTGTTTCCTTCTTGCTGTGACTTAGAGAAGTCTGCCCCTTTTAGTTAGTTTAATAAAAAAATAAAAGCTAATCATGTGGCATGAGATAAAAATTTCATTTTATCACTGTACTTATAAGTTTATATTTGATATACCGTTTTTCCTATTATTATTTTCTTGGATTAAGACGCATTTACTCCCATTCTATTTACCCAAAGTGTTGTTTTTACTAAGTTCTGGCATAAACTATCTCAGGACAGCAGTAATTTATGTGAAGCTAAGTCCAATGTTTATGCAAGCTTCTGATGACATTTTATACCGGGGTTGGTATTAGGAAGCAGTATGTGGAGGTGCCAAGTCTCCCGGCATGGCTGAGGCTCAACAGATCTGAAGCCCTCCTCGTAATGGCCAGATACGCCTCCAGCCAAGATACTCAACTGCAGAGTCATGGGAAATACTTATGTACCAATTATGGGAAAGGCACATTTAATGAAAACTGTATGTTTACTTTCATAGTCTTAGGAAGATGGCCTAGATACTCGGTACAGCTGGCATATTGGCTGTTGTAGAAAAGCGCTTTTTTTCCTATTTAGAAAATATATCATCTGCATACTGTAACTGGACCAAAAATGTTACTTGCGTGCCTCGCTTAAGATAAAGGATTATTAGGACAAAAGACCTTAGGAGACTAACCCTAAATGTTACTTACAAAATATCCATACTTTGCTGAACGGTTGTGTTCTTATTTATCAGCTCATGGATTTAATTATTCTTTACTTATTGATTGTCTGTTTGTTTTTCTGATTTTTAAAACATTAGCTCTGTGCATGGAAAGAAAGTCTAGCAGTGATCTTCATAAATCATATTAATTAGTACATTTTCCTAATGTAGATGAGGTTATATACAATAGCCAACTGTAGTAACATTCTCCCACAGATTAAAAATGTGGAGAGTGTCATTAACTGTTGGCAAGATTTCCTGGTTAGTTACACTATTTTTAAATGAGTATCTACACTGAAAGCAGAGGAATTATTCTGAAATTATTTTGCTGCAACTTAGATCACATTTTTGTCATCTATCCCCTAGGCTACTGTTCGCTTATTCACCATTTCAGGACAGGGGTGCTTTATAAGGTTTAGTCTGAAAATTCTCACACTGTAACACATATTTATGTATCCAACAAGGAGTCACTTGTTCAAGAGTGAATTCCATTTTTCCAGCCCTTTTTGCTATTTGCAGCTATTGAAATAGGACTGGGAGGCAGAAGGTCCATCTACATTTACTCAGCCATCTCACAGAGCTGCTAGTGGATTTTAATAGCGAGAGTCAATTAAAATGTGCCCATTCTTGTAAACTTGCAAGGCTTTTGTCACATTTAATTTTTTGAAGCAAGTGCAGTTTTTTCTTCATTCTTCCTGTACTATCTATTCATTCACAATTTTTGTGAACTTCTTGTCCCGAATATTTAGCTATACACACTTGTTCCACTGAAGTCAATAGTATCCTAGGCAGAGATCACTGAACCCTTGGTATCTAATGTAATATCCTAAACAGAAAAAAACTCCCATGTATATGATGTGTCTCAGTGAGCATAAGAGAATAATTCCGTACCATGCAATGACCAGATTGAAGAAATACAATGATTACTTAAAGATTTCTAGCGTTTCTTCACTTTCTACTTTCTCAGGGGCTTGGAGAGAAAGGTGTCCATGGAACAGTGTATTCCTTGTTTTTTCTGTCTAGTCCTTTACTTTGCCATCAACTTTCTACTTTCATCAACATCTACTTTCAATGCACCTCAAGCTTTTCCTGGCTGATCTCTTGAGTTGCCCTTTTCAACCTGTATTCCACTCTTTTTCTTCTCCCCAGGAGGCACTGGAGAGGCAGCCCCAGCCCTGAGCTGAGCAGGGCAGCAAGGAAATCCTCCCAGTGTCCTATAACTCACATGCTGTGCACTCCTGCCAAGGGTGGGGCCCATTGCAAGATTTTTGGTGTTTCTAGGCCAGATATTATTTCCAGTCATTTTTTGAGTCACCTATTTATTTTGTTATCCATGACCCTTTAAAAGTTCTGGCTGGTTTTTTTTGCCTTTTTTTTTAAAAAAATAAAAAATATGTGAAAGGCATGAGTAGCATGCATTAAAAAAATAAAAATATCGGTCTTTGTCGTACCTAAACAAAATGCCATCCAGGACTCATAATAAAGTTTTATCGTGTGACAACAGCCTGATACTAAACTCTTTTCCAGGGATGATAGTTTGTCTGTGTGTCTAATGACAGTGTAAATGAACACCCTGAGCCATCAGTACCCTAAACCTATCAAGGGTATCCAGTGTAGTTTAGGTTCTGTAAAGAAATACAGTACCAGTTCTCTGGGGAAATATAAATTAATTTCATCTTTCTTTCAAAATGTCCCTGATTTTCTCCCTCCGTTCCCAAATCCAAGTTAATGTTCTCAAATCAGCCTAAACGGCTTGAAAACCGACTCGAAAACCGACTCCGCCGGCAGCAAAGCTGGTGATCACAGGTACCGTTTCCACGCTAAACTGGACATTGCAGACATTGTTTTCTGTTGCTTTTCTTGGAGCACAGGATGCTCTGACAGGAACGATACACAAAATTACATATTTGATTCCATGCCTAAAAGCCACCCTGGGATCCATAACCTTGCCTAAAGATTTAAGAAAGACCTTTGGTCCACTTCTGAGAAGGTTCTTAGCTTAGAAAACTTTATCTTTCAACTTTACTTCTTAGCAGCTGTTATGTTTTTTTGCTGTCGTTTGTTTGACAGGATCCAGTTATAGGTTCCGATGTCTGTTTAAAGAAACAGGGAGGTTGTTGGCTTTAAAATTCCCTCACTGCTTGTGTGTTCAACATTTTCCCAGGCTTTTCTACATAGTTTGCCAAGTAAAGGGACTGACCTTTTGTAGCAAACACTTTTTCATTTCTAAATGCTCACTTTGATTTTTGTCCCATTTTATGCTCATTCCAAACTGTTTACAACCCACTAAAAATGACTGTGAATTATATGTTTGTGTAATGGATTCCTTTTGTGGTCGGACTGGAATGTTTACTTTGAACAATTAGTTATCTTTGGGCAGATTATAGTGACCTGAAAAAAGAATGGCTAAAATTATTATAGTACCTTAACCATTTCCTTTTGTTATCTGCTCTGTTTGTCCAAATGTATTATTTACTGGGTTTCATTGCTCTGAGCCCCAGTGACCAAATCAAGTTAAGTAAGAGCAATAACAAAAAGCCCTGAGCATAGGACTCTTGGTCTGGGGGCTGATCTAGGGGTTATGATCGGGTACATTAGCGAGACTCCAAAAGTAGCCATTAGATTGGGAGTGCAATTTAAGTTTTTAATTTTAAACCAAGACACGGTTTTGAGAGAAGTTTTAAGCACTTGCTCACTGAAAATCAGATTTCTTGAAAGTGTCCAAAGTTGAACAACTCAAAGCACCTAAAATCAAGACTCAGTTTGGCTTTAATGTTCATAGCTGCAGTGTGATTATGCATAATATCATTGCAGAAATGCACACAGACAAAGTCTCCTA